ATATATATATATATATATATATATGATTACAAATAGAATCAATAGAATTTGAGCCTAAAAATTAGTGATCTAACTTGTCCTACTTGGGTTAATTCTTTTTCAATGAAATTTTTTAGGAGTTGATCATAACTATTAAACTAGGTTATTTTTACATTTCTAACTACTCATAATGTTTTACCTAACACAACTAAAATTGTCTATGGTAAAAAAAGTACTTCTAATATAAAACAAAAAATTAATATATACATATTAAAAATGGTATATCATATTAACATATTTTGTTAATACAAAAAGCATAAATATCATCAATACATTAAATGCTAGTATAATACATCATACTATTATCAGTTTGATTTTTATTAAATAAACATTATATTAACAAAGATAGTATAGTTAACGTTTTTTTTAATGATAAATAGTGTTTTTCTCAGTGAATCATTATCCTATATAAGATATAGATAAGTAAAATGAGCTCGAGTATCCATCTATTGACAAATAGACGTTATATACATAAAGTGACGAACTTCCTTTTTGTTACTATAATTTATAAAAAGCAAGAGACAGATAATAAAATAAGTAATGATGAAGAAAGATAAATAAATAAATAATATATGTATATATATAATAAAAAGCAATAATTATACGTGTGTTATTAGTATTACTCGTGTATATATTTTAAGGTGCACAGTTTTTGGTTCTTTGTTCATTCACACAACCCTCTCCCTTACCATTGTCTCCATGCTATTGGTGGCTTGATTGGCTTCTGCTTTTGCCAACAGCGACAGTTCGCAGAATTTTCGTAATTGCGTTGTCTGTCTTTCCTTCTACGCTGTGTTAGCTTCTGTTCTTGGTTCAAAGAAAAGACCACAGCCTGAGTTCTTGTTTAACCATGTCAGCCTTTCATTATCTCTTCATTTTCTTTGCTTACATGCGAAGAAACTTTTCCATGCAGCTCATTCCATTCCTAGTTTCTTTTCTTTCTTCTGTCATCTAAACAAAACAAGTCGTCACACTCCATTCCTTTTCTTTCTCTTATTTTCATCTCATCGGTACCCAAGATGGGACTAATGTGCTACTTACGTAAGAGGGTGTGCCTCATGATTAATGCACCAAGAAGGATAAAAAAAGGGTAATATTTAGTTGCTTTGTTATAGTTTGTTATGAAAATAATTTTATCGTTACATACAATTGAAAATGAACATAAAATTGATACCACCTAATTAAGAATAGTTTGTTGATACAATTTTGTTGCGTAATTAGTATATGGGGCCCGTGCGTTAATGGTTAAATTACTCTGCTTTGCACCATAAGGAAAGTGACATTTACTAAGCTTTTTCTTAGGCAAATCAATCAACGACTGTTACATAGTATATACTTTTGAATGTAACAGCCAAAAGATAGTTACTAACACTGTCATAAGAGGCTTTAAGGAGACAAGCAGCTTTTATAGGTGGTGTTAACTCAGGGTAGTCACTCAACTAGAGATTAGGCAATTGAATAGTATATAAGTGGAAAGCAACCCTCACCTTACAAGCCGGTTTTGTAGGGTTGAGTTAGGCTTAATCCACTATTCTAACATGGTATCAAAGCCATTTAGATCCACTTTAAAAATGGGCCACCCACCATTGATGTATGTCTCATAGGCGTGAGGGGGTGTATTGGGAAAAACCCAAGTCCCGCCAATCCTAGATCATTAAAAAGGGCTACCCACCATTTATCCACGTACCAAGCCCAATAGTGCTGGACGTGAGGGGGTGTATTGGAAAAAATCCAAGTCCCACATCGACTAGAGATTAGGCAATTGAATAGTATATAAGTGGAAAGCAACCCTCACCTTACAAGCCGGTTTTGTAGGGTTGAGTTAGGCTTAATCCACTATTCTAACATGGTATCAAAGCCATTTAGATCCACTTTAAAAATGGGCCACCCACCATTGATGTATGTCTCATAGGCGTGAGGGGGTGTATTGGGAAAAACCCAAGTCCCGCCAATCCTAGATCATTAAAAAGGGCTACCCACCATTTATCCACGTACCAAGCCCAATAGTGCTGGACGTGAGGGGGTGTATTGGAAAAAATCCAAGTCCCACATCGACTAGAGATTAGGCAATTGAATAGTATATAAGTGGAAAGCAACCCTCACCTTACAAGCCGGTTTTGTAGGGTTGAGTTAGGCTTAATCCACTATTCTAACACAAAGCTATAGTTAAATATGACAATTTGTAGACATCAACATCGAAGCGTAATTTGTTGGTGATATTATTTGATTGATATTACCATCCCAAAGTTATCATTAGTGTTTACTTTTTATGCTAGTAGATATCATTGGCCTTCCCACTTTTTAAACGGTTGTGGTTGATTGAAAAAAGTAAACGTTTATATTCAAGCTCAAATAAAATGATGAACTTGTTACTTGTGGCAAATAGAGTTGTGGAGGGAAAAGGACCAATAACAAAACGAAAGTCGTCATGTTTAAGTATGTTGGGTTGCTATTCCAAATATGTGTGTATCCATTCTTTTTTTTCACTTCTTTTGCTGCATGATCTCCAAATGAAGATGTCTAACTTCTAACCCATTTTCTGCTTTTACATATTTTTAGAAATTTTTCTACCTTTAGGAGATTGTACAACAAAAAAAAAGAATAAAAGAATAAAAAAAACCTCCGGTACTTGAATGTATGTACTTTCATTTGAATTTCATATGCAAATGTCCTCTCCTACATAATTTATATTAAACAAAAGTGGAGGGTTCAAAAGATTATATGCACTAAATAATTGGCTTTTCCTATTACTATTAATTAACAACATAAATTATCTCATATTAGTTCGATAAGGGAATAAATGAGCAAAAGGGAGTGGTGGGTCCAAGCCACCTTTGCAGTTGCACATTATCTGTACACCACACAAGATAAGGAAAGAAGCCCCACATGTTAGTACCCTCTTCCACCCATGTTGACTATCTTCAATTCATGTAGTTAATTTAATTTCACTTAGTCAGATGGCACCTTACTAGTTGAAAAGTTGGTGCGATATATAATTGATGTTTCTTCGCTGGTGTTTGGCTCACAATTTTCCAACATAAATCAAATCTTGCTTTTTCTCATAAGCATATCTATCTAGCTTTTCCGTCAAATGGAATGGCTCTAATATATAGTGTGCCTTTTGGGTCTTCTCTTCAAGATCTTTTTGGGTTCTAAGACTAGATAGTGGTTATTAGACATTGTTCCCAAGACTTTGAGCTTTGTTCCGATTGAAATGTTAATCTGTGTCTAGTTGGAATGAAAGAAAACGCTGAGGATTTTATTACAAATTGTAGGTGAGCTTATGGATGGTTTTCAATTCATAATTATTTCCATATAGAATATCCTTTCTGTTGTTGTATGGCTGCAATATTTTTATATTTCTAGTTTTTAACATTTTATTCTGTGTGTCTGGTTCACGTCATGTCATGCCGCTGGGAAAAATTGGACAATTTCGTGGAGTAGCAAATAGCACTAGCTAATATTTGGGGCCCAAGCATTACCAATGAACCAAGATTGAAGTGGGCTGCTTGCGCTAGCAATTGTGTTAGTTGGTCATTCTGCTTGGTGAGAAAAATGTATATATACTACGCATTATGTATTAGACACAAAAATTAAGTGGATTAATAATTAATAATATGCTAAATCAACTAATATATGATTGAATCTTAAGCTTGTACTAGCAAACAAATTTTTTAAATGTAAATAAAATTTAAAAGAATATGAAATAAATAAACTAAAACATAAAAATATATAATTAATTCAAACAAATAAGTGGAAAATATAATTAGTTTATTTAAAAATAAATAAATTTAAAATATGAAATAATTAATATAGTAGTATAAATGATTCAGATCTAACACAAAGGGAATTTTGAATAAAATTTAAAATTAATTAATTAAATTTAATATTTGACGAAAAGAAGAAATGTAAATAAAAAAAGAAAATTTGAAAGCACTTACAATTTTAAGATTTTAAATCTATATAAATAAAAAGTTACATTGTTATGAAACCACGTTATAAAAAAAATATAATAGAAAAATGTCCTCACATTGAAAAATGAGAAATCAAATTTATAACACATGAATTGGCTGTTTATTTATAGACATATATTAGTATAATCACAATTAATTTTGTTTAATTTATGTACAAAACTGTTACTTGATTAGGAAATTGTAACTTTAAGTTTTTTATTTTTTATTCAATAGATATTTGTTTTGAACTTTTAGATCACACATTTCAATATTTGAATAAAAAATGTAGCTAAAACTATGATTTTAAATCCCAATTTTTTTCTCTGAAAACTCAAGAAAAATATAAAATTATAAACTATTCTAAGTGTGAAAGAATTAAAATTAAAAAAATTGTAATTTTAACGATCATCTATCTAATTGAACACTAAAGGGGCTAATTCTTCTTATTAACAGCCTTAATTAGAGTTTATTTGGAATATTACAAGAGAAAACAAAAATTTTAGATATATACGTATATATGATACTTAAATATATAATGAGGGGCCTACCCTTTCCTTTCAACTAAAATGAGAAAAAAAAACGATTTTCTTTCATGCAATATTGCTTTTCCTAAAATCCTTAGATTCCTATCGATAAGAAAAATATATGTTCTTTCACTTCCCCTTATTTAAGGGGTATGCTTACAGAGTCAAAGCCAACGTATGCTGCAACTTTGTTTATTTTAGATGAAATATAATATAACCACACTTGGTAGTTGGTTTAACATATTCAAAAACTGACGTGTGACTGAAGGTTATCTGACATTTCAGTGAAGTGTTCCATATAATATCAAGTTCAGTCACAAGGCCCGGCTAGAAAGTGGACACAACACAATCATCATAAGATAAAGAATTAGGTCCAAAGCTAAACCATCCAACTGGTCTTAAAGCAAATAGATTACTTGGTAAACTTTGAGCAATTAAAAGAAAATGTCCCCCGCAACATTGGGGTTTTCCTATCTGTTTTTGTAAATAACAGTACCTCACGTCCAGAAGCCCCCAATAAAACTGGTTCCCTTCAATGCAGCATTTAGCCAGCAAAGACTAATGGCATGATGTAGCATGTTGCTAGAATTTCTGTATCACAACTGAATTTGCTAGTCCTGCCTGCTCTATAGTCTGAGTTTCATCAGCTAGAACCTTTGGGGGGAAACCCATCAGCTGAAGTTGATAAGCCTGTCGGCCCCCAGGTCTAGATGCATCAATGAAGGCACGGATGTCGCGGATAGTGTGGTGATTATTAAAATGTGATATCAAGCGGGTTCCATCAGCCAACCTGAGTTGTATTGATGTTGATGGCAATGATTGATCAACTACCAGGCCAGCAGAAGGAGTTGGCGCTGCATTGAGAGGTGTTGAGGCAACAGTTGGATCAGGAGTCATTGATGAAGAGCTGCTTCCAAGAGTTCTTCCCACTCCCTGAAATGGAACATGCTGCTTTTCGGGTTCCTGTATGCATGAATAAAATGTGAATTCACTATTTGCGCATAACAAAAGACCTGGATTGCATTTCTAAATTCAAAACGTTAGAATCTCCAAATTTAATGAACAAAGCCAACAAAATTCATCATGGTTTAATAGTAAATTGGACAGAGACAATCCAAAGAACCCTGACAGAAAACTTACGGGACAGTTCTCATTCCTCCTTATGAGGTTAACATTAACAGATGACCTCCTATCTGCAGGTTCAAGTTCTTTGGGACACTCAGATTTTTTTATGCTCTGCATTAAAAAATAGCAAATATCATAAACACGATGAAACCACTTCATGTAACCAATAAAAAAAATAATAGTAGCACAAATACATTTCCGGCAGATTCTTACATGGTCTTGTCAATGGATTATGAAAGCAACTCACCAGAATACTTATATAACAAATGCAGAATTTCAGAAAGGATTTAAATAAATAATAAAAGTAAAGCTATAACTGAAATATATAGATATGTTCCAGTATTTCTGAACAATGTTCACCAAAAACTCAATCTTCTATGACATCAGGATTTGCCTTTTCAGGAAGGCAACCTCATCACTTCCAAATTATTTTACCCTTCAATCCATTACATAATGTTTGGTTGGAGGGGAGAGGAGAGAGATTTTTATTTTATTTTTAAAACTTATTGTTGTTTCATTCAATTTTTAGGAGAGGAGTAGGAGAGCAAAACCCCTCCTCATCTATATAATGTCTAAAACATTCTTATTTATGCTTCTAAATTTTAAATAATAAGGGTACAAATATAAATTAGTTTTTAAAATCCCTTTCCTCCCCCACTTAAATCAAACAAGTAAAGAGTTATCTCCCCTGTTTTCCTCTTAACCAAACAAAATTTCTAACCCCCTTCCCTCCTTTGAGCTAAACAAATCTTTAATGGAATAAGAAACTAAAATACCATCACCTCTAAAAATGAGGCATTTTCAGGATCGTCCAATCTCCTCAGAGGTCCATCATTTACAGTGAAACCATTACTCCAGAAAATAATGTTGTGAACAACTGCCTCAGGTTGCTGGTTAGTAGATTGTGTAGTTTCCCCCGAGAGTAACCTGCCAGTTCCAGCAAAGCTAGTTGACCTTGGAGGCTCCTGAAGCTGATCAAGAGGCCTTTCAACAGCACCAAGTTGCCTAGCTTGATTGAAAATTGCATCCACATCATTTCCCTTTGAAGGATCCTGGACAAGCATTCCACTGGAGATATAATGTGCAATTGTTAAATATCCAGAAGAAAATAATCAAATCATAAAACCAACTGAAAATAGACATTTGCATCCGTAAATCTTGTGAAAAATTAGAGACACCAGTAAATTGTATATGCACATTAAACTTAGAAAGTGTGTTTGCAGATGCACTAACCTTATTAAATCAACACAATTATACACCTCCTTTAAGCCAACTTTCAATATCCAAATGTCCAAAGACTTTCAACAGGGTAGTCAAAAGTGACTTTTTACTATAAGGTGTTTTAAGTTCTAGAAAAGTAAAGCATACATGTGAAGCATAAGGCTACATTTTTGAATTTTGAAGAGGATGAAGTGGAGTTGTTTGGAATTGCATGGACTGATGAAGTGGAAAGGTACGATTCTATTGTTAAGGTGTTGAGTTAAAACTGTAGATGACTGTCTTAAACGGTAAGGACTAGTTTGGGTCCCCATGCTCAATCATTCCACTTCGTTACCTTAAAAGGTCTCTAAAAATGGGTTAAGTACCTTTTTTCATTCTTCTCCATCCATCCAAACACAGCTTAAAAGTGAATATTTTACATACTATATAAAAAAAATCATTAAAAAAATATAAATATAGATATATGTCACTATCCCTATCTATATGTTTAAGGAACTAAGTTATATAGTTTGATAAATTCAAATTTTGAGAACTTAAAATAGCTTAAAGGAATCATCAAGTGGGCAATGCTTAACGTCATCAGTCATCACATAAATCTTTACATGTCATTATAGACTCACTTCAAAGGATATCAAAATGCAGTAGCATTGCTATAAAACCTGGGAGGAGCAAAGAGAATGTCTATTTGTACAAAAAAAGAAATCACAAAATAATAAAAACACATCTCTTTGAGTTTTGTTTTTTCTTTTCCTCATCCCATTCTTTTAGCAAGTTGAGCTGGAACTAAATAGGCTTTCAAAAGCCCAACACCTAAACCAGAAAAAAGTAACCCAAATATAAGCAAAACAGCTTCAAAGTAAAACTGTAAAAGCTCTCATCAAAAGCATGATTTTATTGTTTTTAATGCCTTTAGACAAGTTTTCAAATGCTTTCAATCCTTCCACCAAACAATGAGGTTGAGGAAATTCTGAAAACACTTTGTACAAGTAAAAGCACAAAAGAATAAACTGAAATCTAACCACTTATTTCTATTTGAAAAACCTTTTACTTATAAAGCAGTATGCTAATAAGTGTGGCAGCACAAGGGTACGTACATCAATCAACTTAACCCAGGCAAGAGCAATCAACAAACACAAAACAATCACAATCCTCAACCATTAGAAGATAAACAAAACAAAACAATAACGACACCAAAACATAATCATTTAGAAGACAAACTGAAACACAGCAGCACAAATTGTAACTCTAATTTCAAAAATACACAAAATCATGCTAAAATTTTACACGATTGGAAGAAGAAAAAAAAAACTGTTCCTAAAACCTAACCTAACCTAGTTCTTTGACCGGTAGCTTGATTTCAGTCAACTCTAATAATTCATTCAGCAATAGCATGTAAGGCAATATATCATGCAACACATTTACGCACACAAAGTGAAACACAGAAGTTGCTACCGCGATAAAGCGTGTTTTGATTTTGTTTTGAATTGTGCTGTTTTCGTTTATTATGGAATCAGCGCCTGTTCTCATATAATGTATGGATAATTATACCTCTTCTCCCCGCCGGTGTAGTACTCCTGGGGGCCATCGGAGTCGCTGTCGGAGTCGGCGGAGGGACGATTCAGATCGGAGAGCGTGCGGATTCGGCCTGCTCGGCTACTGGAGGCCTTGGATTGCTTCTTGTTGTCCCGTGACGCCATGGCGATTAAGATTTGAGAGGAGAAGGGACAGCGTCTCGTATTCGGTGGCGCAATGGAGAGAGAGCTACGTTGATGTCACTCACTCCAATGCTTTGCGTCGCGTCGTTGCCAAGTAGTTACCACTTACGATCTGTCTTCTTCTTAAGAAGCCTAAATACCACGCTGCGCTACTGTAATCGATCGGTTACATAAAAATCATCTCATTCAATTATTTTTCTTTTCTTATTTAAATTCACACGCTCCTGCTTATACTTCACTTTTTTCTTACAAAATATATAATCTATTACTACTAAATAAATAATAAACAATAAATATTTTTATTGTCTGATCCACCAATTAATTCTTTTTCCAGATATCGAGATTTTCTTAAAGGTGAAATCACATATTATTAAAGAAAAAAAAGAATGTGAAAAAGTAATCATGCAGTGTGAAATTAAACTACAATCAAAAATATAATAGTAGTGATCACATAAATTGATTCACTCATAACAATCCAAATTTAGCTTCAACAATAATAATTCTAGCCCAAGACAAAGATAAAGAAGCTACCAAAATAATCCAAGCTAACAACGTTTCAATAGTAAAACAAAAGCAATAAAATTCTAAAGTAGGCTTATCTCTTTCACAAAAATAACTACTTACAATACAATTAAGATATACAATTAAGATAGAACTTGTTGCATGCACATATAAGGTTGGATTGCCAATTGTTGAGAGAAAAATCAATGTTAGAGTATTTAGCATGAATCCAACACCAAACCCTATAGATAATTGCATCAAACACATTATTTTGCCAAAGAACAAATTGCTTGAAGGTAATCTCATTCCTTACTAGCTAGATAGATCACTTGATAGACATCCACACAATGACTTATAAATGTTGCATTTTGTTGCCAACAAAAGAACTTAAAAATTGTCAAAAGTGGGCTAATAACTACTTGAGAATGGTTGTTGAATTCCAGTCCAATTCATAAATTTTTGCCATACAAAGTAAGCGAAGCTACAATCGAAAAATACATGAAACACATCCTCCACGTGATGACATCTCCATATGTAGAAATTGTCTCTATCAAGGCCTAACACATACATTTTGCTTAAATTTTCCAACATTTGATTCCTATTAAGGAATAACCTCCACATGAATGCAACAATCTTGATCAATGCTTTAACATCCCAAATGAATTTGAACTAGGAGTCATTAGCGGTTGAGTTTGGACAGGTTCGGATTCAAAATACCCAAATTGTTGCAAATTGAAAATCACATACATTGAATCCGTTTTTAACCAAATTACATTCAGGTTTACCTTCTTTCGGGTTTTAACTATTTTAGATTAAGTTAGATGTGTTGAAATAAGTATTTAATTTTTTACTGACATTGGTTTTTTTTACTCATTTCTTTAATATTTTTACCCAAATTTTGCTTCTTTATAAGGAAAAAAAATGATCTAATTTTATTTAATCATTTACTTAGTATTTTATCCGGTTTTAACTTCTTTTGGTTATGACATTCACTTTCAGACCTTTTTTTGTTTACACTTAATTGTTTTTTGTAAGGGAGAAAAAAAAAGTAAATTACTTTTATACAATTAACAAATCTTGTTCCTTATTTCAAAAGTAATATTATGGAAGAAAAAAAAATAGAATCATCCTAAATTCAATATCTCAATCTCAATCAATTACAAATAATAATATAAATTACAAAACTAAGATTATATATTAATAGTCATATTTTTAAATCAAATCAAAATAACCCATCATCTTCAATTCTCCATGCTTACAAGAGGGTAACTCTAGTTTTCTCATAAAAAACATTGATTGACAGCTCCACTTGTTTAGGCCATAGACACCTCCACCTCAAAGGGCTAAATAACTTACAATTTAAAATCTTACAATAAGTGATGCATGTAACAAGCTCCTATAATCAAAAGTGGAAGGCAAAAAGAAAAATGGAGAAGAGATAAGTAGAACACAATGCTTGTGTCTGTGAAATAGATGAGAGATTTTATGACCATGGTGATTAAGAGTAAGAACATAGGGACAAGAGAGATACGAAAGGCAAGAAAGGTGAGAATAACACAAACTTTGCTAGGGTTTCAAGGAGAGCAAGCAAGCAATGTTTAGTTTTAGGATTACATATTTTTAACTAAGCTATTCACATCAGCACTAGACTTGGACCACACAATATGAGTTATTGGACTTAATCTAATTATCAATTTCTTTGTCAATCAGGTTCGGTTTCCTATAGATGTAAAGGCCTAAAATCGAACTCGTCCTATGAAACCCATTTAAACCCTTTTTTCTACCTGTATAACCCATTTATCCACCCGAACCCTAAAGACCATTTTTTTCAACCAAATTCTTCAAGTTTGGGCAGATCAGGATTTCTTGTTCACCCCAATCTTGAACATATAATCAATAAGAACAACTTACATATCTCTAATCAAGAAATATGCTCTTTTAACCGTATATCCAACTATAACTACAACACTCCAAACCCAATTATCTAATGCTTCAGTAGAAAGGGAAAAGAATTGAGCATATTACAAAATTGAAAAAACACTTGCTCACTTCCACTCCATTATACACACCCTTCTCCAAGAAAAATTCCAAACTCAACAACTATCATGCCAATCACCAAGGTCTTTTACCAAGTAAATTTTTTTTTTGATAACAAGTACAACTTGGGAAATAATTGACACAAAGGATCATCTACCAACCACTTGTCCTCCCAAAACAAAACCTTATTAGCATTCTTAACATCCACATGAATGTGATTCTTTAACTATTATGTGTGTGCGTGTGTGTATTTATGTATACATTCATTTTAGATTAAATTGGATTGGTTTTTAAAATTAAATTTGAAATTTCATTCAATTCAATTAAAAATATTTTTCAATTTTCAAATTTCAATACAATTATATTTTGCTAGTTATCAATATTTTATTTAAATATATTAAAATTTAATTTTAAATAATTATTAAAAAAAAGACTAAAAAATTTAGAGATTAAAAAAAATACATTTATCATATCATATCAATATCAAATCCTATATATTAAAGGTGAAGGATTATCTTATCTTTTCGGTAAAAGGGTTTTAACATATCATATCAATATCAAATCCTATATATTAAAGGTGAAGGATTATCTTATCTTTTCGGTAAAAGGGTTTTAAGAGATTCTTATAACTTCTTATCTATTATTCATTTGTGAATTAAATTTTAATATTTTAAAAATAAATTATCAATAATTATAAAAAATCTTGTGTCGCAATATATATTATTTATTTTAAATCTAAAATATAATTTATATATTTAAAAATATTTATTTTAAAAATTTAAATATAACTTATACATTAAAATATAATATTTTATTTGTATATAAATTTTACAAGTTATCAATTAGTTTTCATATTTTTTAAGATATTTTTACCCATTTATTATATATTAATATTTTTTCACTATTATATTCTCTTAAGGGTAAAAACTAAAAAACAAATGTAAACAAGAAAATTAAATGTGATTATATCAATGATAACTATCCACTCATTTTTGTAACCACCTTTTCTCTCTATTTTTTGTTTAAGAATATTTGACTTTTTTAATTACACATTATCTAGAACTTAATTTACATGTTGTAACCTTTATTGATTTTTTTATATTAAATATGCTTTTAGTCAAAGTTGATGATTTTGATTTTGATCCCTCTAATTTTTTTTTTCATCCTTTTAAAATTTATAAACATTAGTTTTTATCCTTGTAAAATGATTAAATTTTGATTTTGATCCTTATAAAATATATTTCTTTAGTTTTCATCTCTCTAAAATCTAAATCAATTATTTTTAGTTTCTAATGATCATTTTAAGGTAGATAAATAATATTTATTTTAAATACCTATAAAACTATAATAGTTGAAGTAACACTTAAAATAATTATTTAACTTTTTAATGAATAAAAATTAGTTAAAAAATAATCACATAAAAATAAGAACTAAAATTAATAGTTTTAATTTTATAAGGATGAAAAATAAAGAAAAAAATTTATAGAGACTAAAATCAAAACTTGTTAATTTTATAGGAATTAAAAATATATTTAAGCCTAATTTTTTTTTATTTTATTATTTTTAAATAGTATTCATAATGACCCAACATTTCCTTTTTCACTAGTATATAATATAACAAACATTCATCTTATGAAATGAACATGTTAAAATAGTAGTAATAATATATTTGTGGATTCACAAATAAATTCATATAACACGTGTGATATTTATGGTGGTTTAGAAGACGAAGACACGTAACACATTCATAAGATATTAATGAGACAATAAATTATATTATAAAAAATAAATTAACATTAATGCTAATAAATTTCATAATGATTAATATTTATAATATATAAATCATTGTCATTTATATTTTTATTATAATAATTATATGATTGAAGTAATTTTGATCGGAATCATGTAAATCATATTATGAAATAATTAATTAACATTAATTATGATATATGTTTTTTAAAAATTATGGTTTACAAATATTGTCAGTTTTGTTTTCTAATTTCATGATAGCTACTTGAATTTTTTTATTTTGAATTATAAATTCAAATAAAAATGTAATAATTTATAACTTTTTAAAAGATTTCTATAATTAAAATTTTATCAGATTTATATCGTAAAAATTGATTTGAAAGAACTCCATGAATTTTTAGCAAATATTTAAAGTTATAAAACTAATAAAAAAATTTGGGAACTAATTATATTAAAAATATTTAAATAAAAAGTTTTCACTTTCTTTTCTACAAATGTATAAGAGTGAGCAGAGACATAAATTTGGGTTCTCTTAATGATTCCATGGGTCCAAACTAAATTAAAGGAAAAAAAACTGAATTGGTTCAAAATTTAAACTTACAAATATGATAATTTTTTCGGGGCATAAAATTATACTCTATTTATTCTCCATTTCAAGTAAAAAAAAAAATATATTATTTTTTAATATAATTAAATTTTAATTATTTTTATCTTGTTTAATAATATTTTTCTTAAAATACTCTTCATTTAATATATGACATTTAGTTGCATTACTTTTTTAAACATTTATAACAAGAAAAATTTAGAAAAAAATATTATAAAAATAGTAAAATCTAATGTAATTAACTGACTTTTTTTACATAAACATATTTTCTTAATATGTGTATTTTTTTTTATTTATAATAGAGAATGAATGAAGTAACATTTATATATTTTGATTTTTGTAATTTTAAATTTTAAATTATTAATAAATTTTATTTTATTTCATTAAGATTTCCTATTAATTTTTTCCCAATATTTTCTACCTTTCCCCCTTTTTTTTTTAGTTTACTTTATTATTTTATTAATAGACCTTATAAAAAATTACTTTTGTTTTTATATATAAGAAACAAATACCTAATTCATCAAGACTAATAAAAGTAATAAAATTAGTTAGTTATAATTAATAGTCATAATTTAAAATTTTATTCCAAAAATACTCATAGAACAAAATAGTTTTGGTGATAATTATATTGACACTATTCAACCAATGAGCATAACTCATAATGTTAGTTGTCTAATAAATGCACTCACTTTCACGAAGAATGAGTAAGACTCATTAATAAACTCATAATAAATTAAATATATAAAAAAAACAATTACTAACAATTAATACATTTAAAAGTAGACTCATATTTCTTTTAATTAGAACTAAGATAAAACTCATTTGTTTCTTATATTAAAGTACATAAATATTGTTAATCAATTTAGATTTAAATTTCTCTTAAACTAAACCTAGGAACATTTTCAATGGGAAGCAACTCACATGAATTTTTTAGTACATCTAAAGATGTGAATGGTGATTTCTACTATGTCATGTCATTATTAAACAATTCATATTCAATTTTGCTCCAAAATGTAAAGGAAACTAATAAACTAAGATAGAATATGTTATGATTTGGTTTTAGATTAGTAATGTACAACTGTATTAATTTTTCCGTTTTAACTATTGTAACCACATTTATATAAGACCTTTATCCCTCTATCTATCATTCATTATATTCAATATCAATAACACAAAAATACTTTTCTCTATTTTTTCTTTACCTTTCCCCCATCTATGATAAAACTCTAACATGGTATTAAAGCACGGTGACTTCAACCATGGCTTCCGCATCTCCATTCGTACCTTAGATGTTCAATAAGTTGATTGCTATCAAATCGAATGGTGATAATTTCTTAATTTGGCAACGAGTTCTTGCAACAATGTGAGGGTTAAAACTTGAGAGTTTGTTTGTGGCAATAAAATTTCACCATGTTATGCCAACAACAATGAACTTCTTTTCTTGTCTCAAGCTAAATATATTTGAGATCTTCTCTATAGAAAACATGCATAATTTCAAACCTCTACCAACTCCAATGGTTTCAAGTCTACAACTCACATCTGATGGCTCTACAACTATTTTTGATCCTTCCTTTTACAGGTCTATTGTAGGAGGACTACAATATATTACAATCACAAGGCCTGAGCTTGCTTATTCCAGTAACAAAATCTACCAATATATGCCAAAACCATAGGAGCATCACTAGAGAGCAGTGAAAAGGATTTTAAGATATTTACAAGGCACCATTGACTATGGTCTATACTTTAAAAAGTCACTTCACCTCATTCTTCCAGCTTTTTCTGATTCTGATCAGAGATTTGATCCTAATGATAGAAAGTTTATCGTAGGATTTTGTGTCTATCTAGGCGACAATCTTATTTCTTGGTGTACCAGGAAGCAAAGAGTTGTTTCTTGCAGTAGCATTGAGGTTGAGTTTCGAAGTGTTGCAGCTATTACCTTGGAATTACTTTGGTTGCAGTCTCTCCTTAGTGAATTAAAGGTCCCATCTACAATTCCAAAAGCTTATTGTGATAGTCTTGGTATGATCATGTTAGTAGCTAATCCAATAATGCACTCAAGGTCTAAACATTTTAAACTCAACCTCTATTTTGTCAGGGACAAAGTCATTAAAGGAGTTGTCCAAGTTATCCATTTACTTGCACAATTTTTAGGTTGTTGATATCCCTACCAAGCCCATCCCTGGCTCTCGATTTGAAGCTTTCCGAAGCAAACTCATAGTTACCTTAATTAGGAGATACATGAGTTTGGGAGGCGGGGGGAGGGGGTAAAGGGAACTAATAAACTAAGATAGAATCTATTATAATTTGATTTTAGATTGGTGATCTACAAATGTATTAATTTTTTCCTTTTAGCTATTGTAAGCACATTTATATAAGATCTCTACCCCTCTATCAGTAATTCATTCTATTCAATATCACTAATACAAAAATACTTTTCTCTGTTTTTTTTTTATCTTTCCCTCATTTATAACTAAACTCTAACAAAGAAACTTAAAAAAATGTTTCTCTCTTTATAGCAATGGTGTTAGAATAGATTAAGATTAAAAAAAACTATTTTAATACTAAATAGTAAAAAATATTTGCTTAATGAAAAAACTTTAAAATAAAATTAAACTTTTTTTGTCATATAAGATTACTACGGCGAGAGTTATTTCAAGCAACTAAAACTGCATCGAAACATCTCAACAAACATCTCTTGTTTAGATGCTCTAACACAATTCATATTATCTATAACGTTAATACACATATACCTTATTTTGGTGTCCACATTTTTTGGACACTTTAATCCTTTAACTAATTTGTTGAAATATATTTTTATCCTTTAACTAATTTGTATAACTACCCCACTATTTTAAAATTAATCATAAATTTTCTTAATTTTATTATTTTTTATTCTATTTATTTTATTCTTTTATGATGAGGTACAAAATGTCTCACTTCTATTAGTACAAAGTGTCTCACGTTCACTAGTTTTATATAAATAATATATAACTATTTAACCCAAATAATATAAGGAATTCTACTGGTAAAGCAACTTGTGTATACTTAGACCATCAAAATTTACGGTAAGATATACTAATAAGATAAATAACAGTTGAAATTTTTAACCGGCAGCTTTTTGTGATTGAGATTTTAAAATTGCAAATTAGTCCTTTTTCTTTTTTATTTTTTCAATTTCGATTTCTCGATTTCACTGACCCAACAATCATCTCTCTCATGTTAGAAGCAATACATGGGTGATTTTGACACCTAAGTCTATAAATTTGAAGTTCAACTTTTAGTTATGGGTAAAGAGATCAGAGATCGTGGTTGGGGTGTACAGGAGTGGCGGTGGGACAGGAGCAAAACTTGGAACGACGGAGGTCTGATAGGCAGCGGTGGAGAGGGGAGCGTCATTAGAGTGGATTTCGACGAGGGTTAGCAGTGGTAGTGGTTGAGCGATGAAACCTTTCCTTAGTCCCTTGCTTTTGCTTTAGCCACAATACGAGCCCTTTCCTTCATCATAACACCACAGGAAGACATATTTTATCACCATATGGCATATGCCATTATATTTAGCTGCGATTACAGTGGAGCTTCAACTTGCAAACTAAAAGGATAACATTTGGTTGAGTATAGTAATTATTTTAGCTGCAAGATCATTGACGCATTGGGCATGGCAAGATCACATGGTAATGGTTGAGAAATTATTGTTGAATCTGGACAGATATGGTGGAAGAAGAAATGCCACCATCTATGAATATGGTAAAAAAACGACAACTAATTTTCAGGTTAAAGTTTTATAAAGGACTTGAATCTAAATTTGTACTAATTAGGCTTTGTTAATAACATATAAAAAGGACTAAAATGTAAATATATTCGTTTTTAAAACCTGTTATACCATGTAATTGTAGTGAAATAAAACATTCAATATCTACCGTTTATCTTTACATTATATCCTATGCATATTAATAATGGTTTACTGGGGGGCTTACCATTTAAGTGATGATTCACGGTGGAATCTACCATATAATGGATAACCTAACTTAATTTAATCATACATTCAGTAAGCACACGTTTGATTTAAATTATTTCAATTAACAATCAATGAATTTTAATTTGTTCCAATTTTATTAAACAAGCGGCTTTTCCTTACATGAATAATTTAAGACACACTGAAATTAACATCAAATACCTTAATAAGCTTTTAACTCCTAGTATCAATAAAAGCATTATAAATAACACTTAAAATGTAAGAATTTCAAATGGCACAAAGAAGAAATTTGCATATGATAAAAATTAAATCATTTTATCAAACAAAAATTTTAAAACCCAAGAAAATTGAATTACTTGACCCAATTAAAATATTCAAAAAATGAAAGGATTTAAATAAAGTAATTAAAGTCGTGACAAGGGAAGGGGGATGATATATATAAACAAGACAAAAACAATTTGTACTGTGAAACAAGGTCTCAGTCGCTTAGAATCCTGCGGCGGTAAGAGCTTCGGAGCTCCCTGTTTGCGGCAGCGTTACGCAGCGCCTCCTGTCGACTCGTTGCGCACATTATATATTCTTGCAAGGGTGGAAGATGTGCTTCTTCTCCATCCTTGGGAACTTGTCCTCGAATAATCTGTTCATTCATATTAATGCATGCTATTAAATATCTAGCCACAGGTATCCTCCATGGATTGGACATTTAGAGTTAGATAAACCCATTGACAAAACACTTTTTACAAGTATTTAATACAGTTACATAATCAGGACTCGCCGAACTCGAAACTACCAATTATCTATGACTGAAAAATTGGAAAATAAAAAATATTTTTACCTTTGACGCCCACGATCGTTCTGCTTGCTGACAAATATCTCTAATATCTCTTCCAGACATACTGAAACAACCATTGAACAGGAAAGGAGTAAAAACATAGCAAAAACACTTGTTTTAAGACAGTGCAAAACAATTTAGAAATGAATGTTAACCTAATGAATGGTTACATAATTTCAATGACTAAAGAATGTGTCATGATGGTGGAAGTCAAAATAAGAGGTCAATACATCTATATATATTATCTATAGACTCCCCGGATTTTCTACCTTCTTGCTTTCACTACCCAATACCCACCAATTTGTAAGTAATAACTCAGCTGCGGAACTCAAAAGTTAACCCAACTTACTCTTCTGTAACTCTTGCAAGTTCATCTAGTTCGGTTTTGGACAGTTGCTTTGCATATTTGGATGCTATTTCCTGACGATTCCGATGATCAGGTAAACCAAAAGCGATCATACTATCAAACCGACTACAAGCAGGAGAAAAAACAGTAAGGATGAGATTCCGACACGATTGACTGTACACTATGCAAGCTGTAAAGCAATTCGTATTCAAGCTCACCTAATTAATGCAGGATCAAGATCTTCCTTTCTGTTTGTGGCAGCAATGACAACTACTTTCTTATCCTGTTCAAACCCATCTATCTGCAAAAATTGCTCCATCCGTTAGTCAAATTGTATAAAATAAAAACAAACAAACGCTTTCAGCATATTTGATTTAGTATGGATAAGATATTAAGACAAGAGTTTATACATAACAAGGATTTATTTTACATTTAAAATCAAGCTGTATCTTGTCATAAACGAAAGCCCACCCCATACTTGGATCCAGTAAAAAAATATCAATAATATTATCAAAAACTAGTCAAAACTTGCCCCACTGGGTGGAATCCGTTATTAAAGCAAACAACATTATGGAGCTCTCTTAAAAATCGAATCATATTACATCATAAACTAATCTTGTCGAGTACATATAATGCTAAATAAGAACTTACAAGCTGAAAATAAGTCTCTAGAAACTCTTCACTACAGAATAAAACTTTTAAAACTAGCACAAAATTATTTTCTCTAGCACAAGGTATATAACATGCCCTTCTGCGTATCGTAAAGCAGTAAGCAACAAGATTAACCTGTCGCAATAACACTGACAATATTCTTCGCGTAGCTTCATGCATTTCGTTGTCACGAGCAGCAGCAAAAGAATCGATCTGTATCCCAAAAAGAAAAACACAAACAATATGTAACAAGTTCTATGGAAAATCAATAAGAAACACAGCAACTCATTGTCACCATTACTTGTTTCGTTACCTCATCCAAAAATATAATAGCACCATTAGGAAGACTGTTCGCCAGAGAAAACACTTTCCCTAGAAGACGTTCACTTTTACCGTAGAATTCAGACATTATTGCCTCAAGTGGTACATAAAGCAAAGGGACACCCTGCCAAATCAAGTACACAGTTGAGTGCAAAATAAAAAATTCTAATTGATTTACCCCTTATAATTTATACTATATTACAGACATGAAATAACCAATTAAGTATATTAAACAAAACTCAACCATAAACATTGTTGTTCAAGCTAGCGTGCAAAGACACAAAATTGCCATTTATGTGGCCATTGAATGGCACTTTACATATGAATCAGTGTTCTTCCCCTTATCCAAGCTAGAAAGCCAGCTCTTTAACTGTGCCTCTAAAAATCAAGGGCATTTACATTCTTAGTGTTGTAAAAAAGGAGTATTTTACGGGATTTGATTTTATGCTGAAATCTTTCCTTATTTCCTTATTTTCAAGTGCTTAGAGCCAACCTACCCCTCCCCCCAGCCAACACACAACCAAGAAGTAAGAGATTTGAACAATGCTCTTTGATTGTGCCCCAAAAAATAAAAGGTATTTACATAGTCTATTTCAATTATGAAAAGATAATAGTGATCCCAGTCACCCATCCACCAGTTCCTCACCCCCTGCAAACACAAATGCAAATTGTAAAGGCAATTGCAAATATTGAAGTGATAAATTCCCCATCCAGAAAGCAAGTCTTTTTGAAGCACCTCAACTTCATCATATGTATACAACAATAACGTTCTTAAAAGCATAGCTCTGGAACATATAAGGTCAGAAAATTCCTTTCTGGCCAAAAGTAAAAAACAGAGAAAATTACAATCAGAAAGCTGACAAAACAACCACACGAATGAAACTACGTAGAATGAAAACATACACACACAAAATAAAGATATAAAGTAATACTAATCACCAATTAGTCAATACATGATGCAGTTTTCCCAATGAAAAACACAAGATCCTACATCCTGGTGAGTGCCAGCTAAACAACCAATTTATTGAATACCCGACTACTTTATATCAAGAGCCCCTTTAATAGTGTTTCAAGATTAGATTCAATGTGTTGTTTCAGAAACCATTAAAAGAAGTTCACAAATAAAGCTAAGGGGTAAAACCATAAAATAGTTAAAAGCAGCATACCGCTTGATTGGCAATGACACGAGCACAGGAAGTTTTCCCTGTACCTGAAACCATAAAAATGTGCTATTCAACATCACATATAATGTGAACAATGGAAATTATAGGTTGTACAGTCATCTAGTAACTTCTCATTAAATTGAGATATCAACTTCACATAGAAAAGGTTCAACAGATGCAGTTTCTTATTAAAACAGTGTCATAATCTTCTACTAAATACTTAGGATCAAATGCATGAAATAATAGTAATTCAAACTTCTGAAATAATAGGCACATTTAATTTGTAAAAGGTACACATAAATGAAATAATTGACAAGAGTGTATGAAAATATCATATCATATCTTAAGTTAGGATTATGATTAGTATAAATAAGGGTTAGTGGCTTAGTGCTCTAAGTTTTAAGAACGCAATGTAATACATTTCATTACATAATAGAATATTATATCTAAAATCCTATAAGATGGCATCAAAGTGATACCATCATGTGACCTATTTCATCACTACTCTGCTGCTAAGTTCTCATAACACTGGAACTTTCAAATTAATTCTCTCTCTTGCGGTATTTCTTCTTTGCATTTGATCACCAGACATGTTCTTCATTTCAGCCATCTCTTTACTAGTTAACTCTTTCGCCATGTATTTTTCCAATACATTTTGAACAGGTTTTGATCCCATGCTTTTTCCCTAATCACATTAAATGTTTTTTGGGTCTCTTGCACCCTTGTTCAAGCTTTTTAGGGCTGTTTGGTACTGTTTTTCTTTCCTGTTGATCCATGAACTCCTTTACTCAAATCCCTGAACTCCTTAGTACAATTCATGCACTGGGAACAAAGAAATCATGTTAGCTCTGTAGCTTTCCCAAAGATATGAGCCTGGCCTCACAACTTTCCCAGAAGTATCAGCTGGCCCATGACAATCCTATAGAATCATCCTAATCCTGCCATTCTATATTTGTTTTTTAAAAGGTTTATTTTTTACAAGCTTAAAGCTTAGTAAGCTTTAACTTTAACTTGAGGGAGTGTTAGAATTTGCGAAAACATCTTATCATATTTTAGAATATCTAGATTATCATTTCATATTAGTTTCCCCATTTCCCATTATCTCTCATGATTGGTTATCACAATTCCTTATCTCATGATCTGTTTCATTACAAAACAGAATATTATATGAATGTCTATTTTCCCTCAATCTCCTCTCACTACACCTAAAACCTCATAATTTAAACAATAACTACACAATGTATTTATATCCAACTCATGTCCAAAGAGATATATAAATGGTAAGATGATAATATACCAAATATTATAGTTCCTTAATTGTACCCTAATTCATCACATCTAAAGAAGCCTGGTGGTCATTTTTAAAACTAATAATAATTCAAGAGAAATGATTTTGAAAGAATCACTCATCTTTTTTAATCTATTCTACATGATTAGAAGTTGCATCCTCTGCAACTTGATCAGACAAGTGTTCCATTTATGAAATAATTAATGCCCTGCTCAAGAATGGAAAATGTTCTTTAAAATAATTAAGGTAAAACATGTTTCATTCAACGTATTCTTGTGAAATGTAAAGAATTTGTTTTTAATACGGAGTTAAAAACAGTTGGTGGTTGTTTTCCAAGTTCAAATTTGGAGAATATGGTTTTCCTTAGAGAACAGTATTCCTTCCTAGACATATTTTTTGCCTTTCAATTTATATTTCTTGTTGAAAAGTTTAGGGTATTTTTATGATAGAATAAAAATTAAAAGCAAAAAAAAAATATAGTCCAAGCCAAAGCTGGATCATATTATCTAATCATATAGAAAATGTAGAAAAAACTAAAAATGACACACCTGGTGGACCTTCGAATAGCACAGCTCGAGGCCTGTTTGACTCAAACTTATGACGAGTCCCTCGAGCAATATCATTATATACTTCAGGACTATGCAAAGCCAACAGTACTGTATCTTCTATTACTCTGAAAAATATAACAAAATTAGATATTAAATTTACTTTCATGCATGATGATTCTCAAGAAAGTGGCTTGGAACCTAACTCAAGTATACAAGACCAGCTTATAAGGTGAGAATCACTCCCCACTTATATACATTTTATTAATTTTATCACTAGTCGATATGAAATCTCCAACACACTTCTCATGCCGAGGACTGAAGATCTCAAGCGTTAAGTTTGCAGGACTTGACATATGCAAGTGATCCAATAACGGACAATAGCAGGTGGCCTATTAGGCCCAAAAACATTCACTAGAATAGGCTCTAATACCATCTTAAGAATTAAGAAAGTAGTTTGGAGCCTAACTCAACCTTTAAAAATCAACTTGTAAGATAAGAATCGTTCTCCATTTAACAATGATAAATGAAAGTTGGGCACACATCTTAACAGAGATACTATAATTATAATTCTATACAATAAAAAAGAGAAAAACAATTAGAAAAATAGTGTTACAATGCTCTTATGAGATATAGAGACACACTACACATATAGGGAGGCATAATCAAATTGGTAGGAACTTAGAATGACTGACGAACCTCTCATACCCTTCAAATACTAGAATCTAATCATTACAAGTTACACAAACTAGGCACTTAGCCACTTACTGCGTTTCAATCAACAGAAAAATATGCTGAGTGCTGAAATATAACAAATAATGAACAAGGGTCATATCAAGCTGTATAATTTCCAGAAGAGATTAGAAAACATGAATTACATGACTATTTTAGTTTTGTCCACTTGAACCTGAGGTATGAAAACCATAAAATTGTAAATCTTTATAAAAAATTTTGCTTTCCAAATTAGATAGAACATTCAGCTAGTGAGAAAATACAAGCCAAAGTTCCATATGTACATACCGTTTTTGAGGTTCATAACCAGCAATGTTGTCCCATGATATCTCGCCAGCATTTGATAAACCCGCGGATTCATTAAGTCCATAAATTCTCACTCCCATACCCTCAAGTTCAGAAATAGATTTATCTACAGGTGGGACCATTTCAACCTCTTCCCTCGGTTTTCTTTCCAGGGTGTTTCTCTGTCTCAACTCATTTCCAGCTAATTGTAAAGCAGAGACGAAAGCATCAAGCTCTTCAGGACTCAAGTTCCCTTGCTTAATGAATTCAATTTCCTGCAAATGTCCAAAGAAGATGATTCTATGAGAAATGACCTTTTTTCAGTGCACAAAAAGCACAATAATGAGAAGATCAAATCAAGAGAGATATAAAAATTAACGACTTACAGCTTTATCTGAGCCAATGAGAGAATGAAATATGAGTATACATAGATCTCTATCATCTTCGTATATATCTGTCTTGTTCCCTTGAATATTTTTTTGTTTGGATGGATGAGTAAGGGTTAGTTGCCAAGCAACTGTGCTGTGGATAAGTCACAACAAACATTGAGGTTTTTACTAAATGAGTGAATCACTACTGTAAAGGAGAAAAAACTAAATATGTATCATAAGCCATAAACATGCTTGCTAACATTCCCTAAACCACAAATATCAAGAATGAAGTACCTGTCCCAAGCTCGTAATAACATGTCTGAACCACCGCTATGGCTTTCAACTTTCGTTCCAAGATGTGCAGTAAGATTTGCAATAAGTTGTGAAACTTCACAACCAGGGGGAATTTGAAACTTAACACTAACCTATAATTGCAATTCCACCATCAGATGTAGTTCGACTTCCATAACATTAAACAACATCGCACCATCAAAGCTAGAACATGGTAATAGTGAATTTTTTTTTATTTTTAAGAAAAAGTAGTAGAATGCACCCAAGTCAATGTTAGCGAAGAAAAAGAGAGGTTGAAGTTGAACCGTCTCACAACTGATAACACTTCAAGTTAAAATTCAATATATGAAGAATATGATATCGGTGGAGTTCAAAATGGTAATAGAATATTAGCTCGAAAATGGACAGATTGGAAACAAAATTCTCTTTGCATTTACATTTGATGCTACTAAAGGAATGTGATGGACTTTACTCGTTATTGCTTACAAAACCAAAGACCATTTTACAGCTAAGCATACATTTCTGACTACAGATTAACTTTCCAAACATGAACCCCGAAGAAAGAAAAAAAAAAGCATCGCGAACCAACTAGTTGTTTTATTTCCCATATAATGACCTCAAAATTTAGGTAAATCACGGAAAAACAAAGTACACCAACCTTTTGGCCTTTGGCGGCCACTGTGAAGCGAGGATAAGAACCATATTGAACATCTCTACTTCTGAGCAACTCCTCAATTCGCTCGCGTTCCTTCCTAGCAGTTTCTTGGACATCGACGCCACCGTCTTCCGCATATGCCGCTTCCACCAAACCAGTTCCGAAAATACCAGCTAAGACAACCGGAAGCATCGAATAACCCTCGCGAAAAACACTAGAACTTGAAGCATCAAACACGGATGAAGTAGACGCAAACTCTATACAAAAAAAAATCGTAAACGCAGCGAAGCATGTATAGTGTTTGGAAAGAAAATCAATCGAAGTGGAGCGTTGGAAATTGAAGGAGAGGGGAACGTACTGGGATAGGGAGAAGGAGGTGAGGAGCGAGAAGCTAGGGTTTGGAAAGAGGGAAACGAACAGCGGCGATGCCAACGCCACGCCCGAACTGACCTGGCCAAACGCTCCATTGGAGAGTGCAGAAACGAAAAACGAATTTCGTTTCAGCGCGATGAGTGTGTGGGTAGCACACTACTCTCTTGCGTGCTCTGCAAGTCGGCAAGGATTCAGTGCCACCCGAACTTTCCCGCTGTATATAGAGCATAGAGAGAAGAAAGGAAAACAGCGTTACGTGTCGCGTAACTTACGTCAACACAAACAGATTATCTACCATCTATTGCCTCTCTTTAACAACTTAAATATTTTATACTGTATTTTATAATTTAACTAATTATTCTTTTCAATCTAATATTCCTTTTTGAAAAACAAAATTAGAGGTCTTAAATGATCATATTATATTATTATTACGGATTTTACCCTTTTAGTACATTTTAATTTTATTTATTTTATATAAATATCATTTATTATTAATATATGACTTAAATATATTTTAAATTCTTGTAAATTTCATTTTTTTCTTAGCTCTTATGAAAAAATTGTCTCTTTTATAAATCTTTGATTTTTTATTTTCTTTATTTTTTTGTCATTAGCACTATTTAATTTGGTGCTAAAATGATAATAAAATATATAATAATTAAGATAATTAAATAAAATAAATATTTTAGATTTAGACAATTAAATATAAAATTTAATTATATATGTAGCACTATAAGTTATAATAGTATTATAATTATTTTTAGTCATTTTATGCTATTAAATTGAGTTGTTAATTAGTGTTAAGAGAGTTCGAGAGCTGATAATTTTTTAAAAATTTCAGTGGTGTTGGGAGGTTTCTTTAAGTAGATATCTAGTTTGATCTTAGAGAAAATAGTATATAAGATTTTTGTTTTGAACTAAGTTTCATAAAGCCTTTTTCCTCTAAAGTCTAATGAGAGGAATTTAGAGAGAAGGTCCTTGGTCTGTGATCTCTCTACTCCCTCAATATTTTCCTTTTCTTCCTCTGATTCTTGTTAAAGTTATGTTGTTGTTGGATTCAAGTCAAGAGTAGTTGGATTCTTATGGTTGATTTGTCAAAGTAGTGTTGCAAAGTCTCAATTTTTCTTCTCTTTTACCTCGATGTCGAGCTACTTGAGGTAAGAGAAGTTAGAATTTGTTGTGTTTTGGATAAATTGAGGGTTCATGAACAATTTTTGAGTTACGTGTAGTGTGCAATCTCAATTATGCATGGTTATGTTGATGAATATGAAGAGGGAAACACATGGGAAGTGGGGTTTTTAGGTTATTGGCCAGCATTATTGATTCTTTGTAAAATATTGTTTGCATGTTAAATTTGAGTACATTTGTGAGTTGACGGTGATTTATATACTAGTTGTTTTGTGTTGCATGTGTCAGAACTTTGTTGGATTTCAGGTTTGTTTATGGTGGAATTTGTTTACAGGTTCTTTTTATTCAGACTAGCACAACAAATGTTTCAATTTAGGTATATGTTTTTGAATTCTATAGAATGAAGAGGAATGGAGTAGAATGATCAATGATTACTGGTTTCTAAGCATTCATCAATGATTAACACGTAATAATTTCCATGCACGTAAACGTTTAGATGAACAGAATGAACGATAATGATATTGGCAATACAAATCATGGTTCACTTTACACAAAGTTCAAAATATTACAGCATTGATAATAATCTAACACTACGAGATTTAAAGAACAATAAACTACACTAATTCTACTCCTAAAAAGAGAAAAGGAAAATGGCTGAGAAGTAGTCATACCAAAAAACAATTCCTTGCACGAAAGCCATATGCTCGGGCAGAGAGTGCTTGAGGGTTCAGTTCTGGTATGAGTTTTCTGACCTTTGTAAATCACCACACTTCTCATATTTATAGATCTAGTCGAGAGCGGTTGATTTCAAGTTTGTGCGTCATGGGGAATAACCGTCATCCACTATGCTTTTAACGTGGGTGTGGCTTTAAAATGTAACTTCTCATAACCGTTCGACCCACGTTCTTTGTTTGTTTCTTCGACCAAGTTTTAGTAATTGCCTTAATACAATTGCCTCAATACAATTGCTTAACTACTCAGAGAATGTTCCGCCTCTTACATTTTTTTGACCAATTCTTGAGTTTGTATCTTCAGGCCCTCTTATATTACCAGCTTTCTTTCGAGTAGTTTCAACTGTGCAACGTTCGAGCAATGAAGCTTTCGAGTGACCCTAACAAGGTTATAACTCAAAATCGAGTTCTACATAAGCAGAATGTTGATGTCATGCTAGGCACACCTTTATGGTGTCGAGCATTGTTCTAACTTGAGGTAATTTGTCTCGATCACATTGGATGCGACATCGATGGCCTATGACGTGAGGAGAGAGACTTGTCTTAGGTTGGCATGGCACAGGGCATGAGAACCTTGAGAACTCTCTAACTTAGTGACATTAGACCCAAAGTTGAATGATGTCATCTTGGCCAAACCAGAGCTCTCTATCTGGATTTCATCAGGCGCCATTATGGCAACGTCTGACATGACTCAGATTAAGCATGGCAATGGGGCGGGTTTTTTTTAGCTCGACGAAAATTTTATTCTTGAACCTTCGGTACAAAAATTTGTACAACGGATTAGCAATCCGATGCTTTAGTCCACTCAGCCATCTCTCCCCAATTGAAAAAATAGAATTACTTTGTTTATGTGATATAACATAAACAAGAAGAACAAAAAAAGGAACTTAAAAGAAAAGACTTCTTTATTATCTTATTTTTTATCTTATCTCTTTTTTTCTATTTTATTTATATAAATTATTATATTAGGTTCCTTAAATTCCGTGGGTGGCGTAGCTACAGAGATTAATGCAGTCAATTATGTCTCTCCTAGAAGTTGGTTAGCTACTTCTCATTTTGTTCTAGGATTCTTCCTATTTGTTGGCCATTTATGGCACGCGGGAAGAGCTCGTGCAGCTGCTGCAGGATTTGAAAAAGGAATTGATCGAGATTTTCTATTTTTTAGTTTTTCTTTTTCTACAGTCAAAGAGCCCTGCCAGTACCTAGTCGGGCTAACTTCAATCTTACTATACATATTGGGTTGAGTTGAGCAGGTCGTACTGAAATCAAATTTTTCCTTTTTTTCTCATTTCTATCTAATCTTTTCGGGTTGGGCTATATCATCACGTAGCCCAGCCCGAAAAGATTAGATAGAAACTACTAAAATATAGAAATATATTCGCTGAGAAAAAGGAGAGACCCCTCGATAGTTCTTCCCGTCCCCGCCCCCACAGATTTAAATCACCCCCGCCCCCGATACCCGTTAGAGGTAAAATCTGGGTACCCATCCCCATCCCCAACGGGGTTCGGGTTTTCCCGCCCCACCCCCGCTCCTACTTTTTTTTTCTTTTTTTCTTTTAAATAAATATGAACAAATTTAAAAAAATAAAAGAAAAGTAAAATAATACAAATTTTTACATACAAATATTTTAAATTTTGGTTTATATATATATATATAAATAATTTTTTAATTATATTATTAAGCGGGGTGAGGGCGAGGCCGGGTACGAGGGCGGGGCAGGTATTAACATCCCCGCCTCCGCCCCCGATTTTATTAATCGGGGAAAATCTAAACACTAACCCGACAAACACGGGTTTTTTTCCTGTCCAAATTGGGGCGGGTTTGAGCGGGTACCCACGAGAATGGGTTAGATTATCATGCCTAACTCAAATAAAGACTTTTTGCTTGAGATAGGGTTGGGCAATGGTGCTTTACCATACCAAGTGCGAGGTCTTATGGCCTCTACCTTAGCCACGTCAAACATGAGTTGTGTAGCATCAAGTGTGAGTGAGGCATAAAGCTCCCTTTCTGGATGACGCATGGCACTGATTACTAAAGAAAGACATGTTGATATAGTTGAATGAAATGTTAAACATTTATTGATTTAGTTGTTAAATGAATAAATGACAAATGAGTTGTAGAGATGAAATAGTATGTGATAATTGTATTTTGAGTTGTTGGTTGAGAAGTAGAAACAAGTTGTAAGTTGTGTGTTGTGAGTTGCAAAGTTGTATGCTGACTGTGTAGTTGTATTGAATATAGGATGAGTTGTTGTGTTGTTAGATGAATGATGAGAATGCTTTAGGCATTTAGACATGGTGTTGTTGAGCTATGATGACCACTTAGGACTAGAGGAGAGGTTTTCAAAAGTTGCGTATCCCATTGTGTGGATATTGTGTTATGATGATCTAAGAGCCCAATTTGTTAAAAATCTTTATTAGGAAATTGACCCTTAAAGTGGATAAATATGTTAATTCTCCTCCAGGACTTTGTTGGTACTGTGTGTGAGCAATATCAAGATACATGTATGAAACAACCACAACATAGGGATCAAGTCAAGCTATACTAATTACAAGTGACCAATCAAATAAAGTACGAAGTTGGGAACTTGGTTCTTAACCAAATATCAAAAAGGCGTAGTATTTGGAGGATAATCAATGAACAAATTTTATAGGAGACTTGGTTAATCTACCTTCATAGTAATACTAAACTTCATTGTTTAAGTGACAATATCCAATAAATTGAGTTATTGTCTTATGGGTTTATATTCAATTTGTTGTTGATCTAGCAAATCCTAAGAGAGTACCCTACGTTGTCAATTTGATAAGGTTAAACCACTTAAGTTGCTCACATTGTATTGTAAGAGATCTCTTAGTTAAAATATGTGATGATGCATATAGTTGCTACGAAGATTAATCTGTTGTTGAGAAGGTTGTGATGTTGAGTTGATACTATGCTGTTGTAAATTGAGTTGTTGTGTTGGTACGTGTTGTATATTGTGATGTCTTGTGTTATCAATGTTGTAGATGAGATGATGATGTGATGATATAATTAAAGTTGTTGATGTTTTGCGTTAAATACACACTGTTCATTTTAACTTTAGTTTACCATTACGTGTTGTAATATGATGTTGACTATGATAATCATACGTGATATGAAGTATGACAAAGAATTCACTACAAGGCTTTTCCCATCAGGGCAAAGCTCAACCACTTTCCTGCATCCTAATACCTCCACCTCTCTAACAAATGTCAGTCCTAATGCATCTGAATCAATGAAATCAGCATGCATCTCCAATATTAGCTTGCAGCTTCTATACAAGAAAGGATCTGCATCCCGTATATCTTCTAAAATAACATTGTTTCCAGCCAATTGCATAAAAAACACACGATCAAAAACAATACCCACTTGCACCTTTTTCATCAATGCCAATGCAATGATACGTCCAGCGAACCTGAAGTACTCAAGATGGCGAGGATGTACCTTAGATGCTGCAGACAAAGTAGACAAAGAATAAACTAAACATGATTATGCAAAAGAGTTCTCACTATATCTACTGATACAAGATATACAGAAAAACACATCAATAATCACTACTAAGCAACCGTAGTCCCGAATGTTAACAAATGGGAACTCAAGTTTTGTGACAAAATGCTAATGATTGGACAGGTTATGCAATACAGAGTATTAATACTGATGAGAAGGTGAACAATTTAATTTTCTAAAAAAGTACAACAATCCGTATAACAATTCATGGATATATAGAAAGATAACCCTTGACTTTTCCATCAATGTACCGTTCACCTCACACTTCAAATTATCCAATTTTACTTAAATGACATACAGAAACGTGACAATGGAGAATGTGAACATTAACAGAATAACAAATAAGAAGCCAGTGCATCATTCCTTAAAGATCCTGGGATACTGGTTAGCTGGTGTTATAATCATATCACATACCTCTGATTCATTTTCTTTGTTGGATGCTCACAACTCATTTTTAAGGTGCATTTAAAATATTAGTATTTTTTTCTGCAGGGTAGTCATCATAACCAATACAAAATGGGCTGCTCCACACCATGAGTTGATTGGTGGACAGGCTCATTACCATTTCACATCTGACTTCCTGCATCCTAATACCTCCACCTCTCTAACAAATGTCAGTCCTAATGCATCTGAATCAATGAAATCAGCATGCATCTCCAATATTAGCTTGCAGCTTCTATACAAGAAAGGATCTGCATCCCGTATATCTTCTAAAATAACATTGTTTCCAGCCAATTGCATAAAAAACACACGATCAAAAACAATACCCACTTGCACCTTTTTCATCAATGCCAATGCAATGATACGTCCAGCGAACCTGAAGTACTCAAGATGGCGAGGATGTACCTTAGATGCTGCAGACAAAGTAGACAAAGAATAAACTAAACATGATTATGCAAAAGAGTTCTCACTATATCTACTGATACAAGATATACAGAAAAACACATCAATAATCACTACTAAGCAACCGTAGTCCCGAATGTTAACAAATGGGAACTCAAGTTTTGTGACAAAATGCTAATGATTGGACAGGTTATGCAATACAGAGTATTAATACTGATGAGAAGGTGAACAATTTAATTTTCTAAAAAAGTACAACAATCCGTATAACAATTCATGGATATATAGAAAGATAACCCTTGACTTTTCCATCAATGTACCGTTCACCTCACACTTCAAATTATCCAATTTTACTTAAATGACATACAGAAACGTGACAATGGAGAATGTGAACATTAACAGAATAACAAATAAGAAGCCAGTGCATCATTCCTTAAAGATCCTGGGATACTGGTTAGCTGGTGTTATAATCATATCACATACCTCTGATTCATTTTCTTTGTTGGATGCTCACAACTCATTTTTAAGGTGCATTTAAAATATTAGTATTTTTTTCTGCAGGGTAGTCATCATAACCAATACAAAATGGGCTGCTCCACACCATGAGTTGATTGGTGGACAGGCTCATTACCATTTCACATCTGACCAGGCAACATCACTAAATTTCTTTCTTCTTTCTTCTTCATTCGTGCATTAAATTTTATCTCGTACATCTTGTGCCCTAAATCACCCATTCAAAAAAAAAACTGGATGTGTAATCTAACTAAAGCAGATGTTGGCAGTGAATGATAAATCTTTACTATTTCATCACTACCTTAAAGGAAGCAACACAAAAACAAGGATGGAAGAACAAACCCTCTGTTTCAGTATGGCTAAAAAAAACAGGTTAGTCCACCCATTACTGTCCCAAGGCCTTCCATGGGGATCCAGCTGAGTGCATTCCTGTCCAAAGGGAATTCCCTTATGGTGGACCACTTAAAAAGATGAAGGGTAGTGGATCAACTCGGCAAGCCAGAGGAACCATTGCTAATGATAAAAAGATAAATGACCTGTCCTCAACTAAACTGTGTGGATGTGCCCCCAAGTTTGCCACCCTTCAGCTGCAGTCAACTGCTAGCACTTCACTTACACAACTATTTTATTGTTTTTTTAGCTAGATGTCATTTGTGATGGAGTAGGCTTTGTTTTAGCTCTAAACTTCTCTTATTGGCACAAGGGTTTTATCCCCTGAAAGCTAGTTCAACATATTCAAGAAAGATTGTTTTATTAACATTCTAAAGATGTTTTCATATGTATATTTCTTTTGGAAAGGACGCATGAACAATGTAATCCCTAGACAAACATTTGCAATTTGAAAATAACACTAACAATGCATTGTATTCATTTAGATTTCCAGATAGAACTTACCAGGATTTGGATAAAATCTCCTGCAGTCATTCGGGCAAGCCACAAAAAGAGCATTCTGTGGATTAAATATTTCATGACACACCAAAACAAACCACTCCCGCGTCACACCCGGTCCTGTAGCTTGCTCATTTTTGAATTCCATAAACAGACCAGAACGCAGAGTTTCGGGCTCAGCTCGTCCAATGTACTCGAAGGACTCAGCCAGTAGCTTAGACTCCTGCATCCTAATACCTCCACCTCTCTAACAAATGTCAGTCCTAATGCATCTGAATCAATGAAATCAGCATGCATCTCCAATATTAGCTTGCAGCTTCTATACAAGAAAGGATCTGCATCCCGTATATCATAAAAAGAGCCCATAGAACTTAATTCCACCGTAAACAGATAGGTTTGAAGTATAGTTGTGGAGGTCATATAGTGACGTCAGAATTAAATATTTTGTTAACTACCTATTAGTGGTAGACGTATATAGATAGTTGTAATTGTTTAACCAATAACTTAATTATATATTTACATTGACAAACTTATCGCATCTATATTGCACACAATTATGTAATTGTTTCATCTTTATATGTATGTGATATATTATATATTGTAGTATATGTAAGTATATGATTTTAAATTAGTTGATTTTTACTACTAGTAGCTATACTGTTTAGTGTAGGGATTATAAGAGGTCATTACAATATAAATATTTATTATTTTATATAAATAAGGTAACTTATTTATAAATTTTAATTTCTCATGTATTATATGTAAGTTTATTTGGTCGAAATTTATAAAGATCATCCATCATTGTCTCGGTAGAGACGAGAAAATGCCCTAAGTTAGTTATAGGATCTCTGCTAGCTGGGCCTAAATTTGCAAGGTCGACGCACATAACACGAAAAACTGCATATTTTTTTCGACGTTTCTGGCTTTTCGTATTTGTCTATAACTTATAACATTGATAAAAGAAAACCATGAAGTATTATAAGTCTCAAAAGAAAAATAAATGACGGGGTTCTAACTTAGTTGGTGTAAAATAATAATAAATAAAAAAAAAACTTAGTTAAGTGAATGCTGTGAGAAAAGAAAAAAGAAAAAAAAAACTTAGCTAAGTACGTGAATTATCGTAAAATTTTTGAAATCAGTGTTCGACTCATTCTCTAAATAATTAAAAAGGAAAAATAGAAACTCTTTAATTTTCAAGCTTGTATCGAAATCTTACTTAGAGAAAAATATAGATAGAAAAAAATTGACAAAAGAAGTCGACATCTAACAAGATGGATTTATTTAAATAATTTGTATAATCGTAAACTAGTGGAATATAAAAACTAAAATATATAAATATAAAAAATAAAAAAAAAGAACGAACCCAATTTAATATATCTATACCATTATATAATAGTAATTGTTTTAATTTCTGTTTTATATAAACCATTTTACCTTTTTATTTTACTCAAAAATCTAAACAACTTTGTATTTCTTACAAATTTTATAAAAAAGTCTTTTTGATCTTAAGTCATTTGCTCTTTATAAATAGTTACTGGTTTTTTTTTTTAATAAAACAAGTAACTATCAAATTTATATTTATATTTATATTTTTATTCATTTTAAAAAGATAATGGAGACATAAAATATCTCTTTTCCCTCTAATATATTATATTAGTTAAGTTTAAATATATTTTAAGTCCCTATAAAACTAACAAATTTTGATTTTAGTCTTTATAAAAAATTCTCTTTGTTTTTTTTTAATTTTTTTATCTTTATAAAATTAAAATAACTGTTTTTAATCCTTATTTTTATGTGATCATTTTTTTATTTATTAAAAAGTTAAGTAACCATCTTAAGTGTTATTTATAATCATTATTATATCATATCAATATTAACACCTCTAAAAGAAATTATAAATTCTTTAAATATTATATATTTACTTAAAATGATCATTAGGAACTAAAAATAGTTAGTTTAAATTTTAAAGACATGAAAATCAACGAAAAAATATTTTTCAGAAATTAAAATTAAAATTTAATCATTTTACAAGAATAAAAAAATATTTATAAATTCTAGAAAGATGAAAAAAAATAGAAGGATAAAAATCAAAATCATCAATTTTATAAAGACCAAAAACACTATCAATCATAATTAAAAGAAAGTAGGTGTTAGATTTAAATTTTTATATTTACATATTATAAATAAAATAAAAAGAAATATAATAAAAATAAGTGATTATTCAGTTTGTTTCTAGTACTGATTGTATGTGAAAAATAGTAGTTACCAAAAATTCTTAATTTTTAATTTATTTTAATGACTCAAAGATGAAATGATCAGTAAATATAAAGATAAAAATAATTATTGAACAAAGTATTCCTTCTATAGTATAGATAAATGAAAAATGCTGTATAGTTTAAAAAGAGAAATCGAAATTTTGTCCGAATAATTAAAAAATAATTATTTTATAATAAATTTATTATAAAATAATTATTTTTTAATTATTCTGATTTCGGACATTGTAGCAATGCTCATAGTGTCCTTGTCTCAAAGTGCCGCTGTTACATGAAGTTGTTACTTTTTCGAACTTCGAGCTCGTTGAATTTAAAGGCCTAAACCAAACGCGAGATATTTGAAGCTTTGAATCTGGACGAGGGCATAGTCCTTTGTCACCTCTGCTCCATCCTAAAAGAGAGTTAAAATGGATTTATATATAAGTTAATTCATAAAAGGTTTTTATATTAATTTTTAAAATTTATTTTTATTATACATAAATTATTTTAATTTATAACAAATTTTTTCTTCTTCTTATAAATAAGTTTATTTAAATATGTCCTAAATATGTATGCTATGTGTTTGAGTCTCCTACTTATGCGATTAATACGTCCTGATTAAATAAGATTTTTTAAACCAAAAAAAAAATGATTCATCTTTCAAAACGTTGGGAAAACCGTATATGGTTTTCGTCAAAAAGCTACTTTCGGTACCTGGCCTCAATTTCTTTTTTTATTTATTATTTATAATCTCGATATTTTTATGTTATTATAAAATTATCGTATTTCAAATTAAGTTTGACGAGCTTACTCAAAGGGACGAAATTTTATTGGTCCTTATTTTTTATTCACAAACCTTAAATTTATTATCTTAATTATTTAAAAATAAAGAATCAATATTCTTATTACTTCAACCAGCAAATATTATCATTATTTAATATTAGTGAGACGGAGACATTTTGTGTGTTTATAATTTATTTAATAAAAATATTTAAAAATTATTAATATTTGATAGATTAATTAATATTATATTTTATTTTTAAATTTAAATATTTTAAGTTGGAATTTTATATTTGTAATAATGATGAATTTTTAATATTATTTATTATTATTTAAAATTTTAAGGATAAAATTGTTTTAAAAAAATATGTACGTCAAATAAAACAATATTTTTATTATATGTTATAAATTAAGTACGATATTATCTATAAATTCAAATTAAATAATATTTTATTCAAGTTCTAACAAATTTATTATTTTTAAATGTTATTATTGTAATTATACTAATATTTTATATTTAAATCAAATTAAATATTATCTTTGTACTTTTATATATACTACTAATTCAATTTATTTTAAACATAACAAAATGATTTTAAATTGTATGATTAAATAGTTGTATATAAAAAAAATATTTATCCTTAACCACAAGTTCAAATAAAAATCATTTGTACTTAAATCACTTTTGAACAAACATACTGGCTGCATGCATAGTTCGGTAGTGGAATCGTTATGAGCCACATTCATTTTAATTAAATCAAGTTTGACTAAAATTTATGATGTTTGGTTGGCAAAACAAATCCCTTTTAGTTAAGAAAAACGAAATAGAGTTCGAGGTAATATGATATTATTGCTTTTGCTTTATCTAAAATTAATTCCAAGTTTTTAAGTCATTTTAATAATATATATATCCTTCCAACCCCAGCAAACGAAGGATTTAAAATCTTCAAATTCATGTATGACAATTAAAATACATAGATCCCAGCAGATCTTCAATTCTTTTCAAGCTTCTCACTATCATGGATACATTCATGACAATACAAGTTTGGAAAAGCACAACATCCATTGCAACCTCCTCCATTACAAAGAAACTCTTATGTCAAATGGTGGACTACTTTTGATGCAAGTAAAGCAAACCCACAAGAAGTAAAAAAATTAGTTTGCTTCCAATACAAAGTTGCTAAAACCAGCTGACCCAGAAACATCATTGTTCCTCAATCAGAAAGCAAAAATTACAGCATCACTGGTTGCTGCAAAAACAAAAGAAAGTTTTGCCAAAAACCTTGAAGAAATTTTAGCTCTACTCAAGAATGAAGGCGAAACTTCAAAATCTTCTTTACCGAGTTCATCAGAGTCTACAACTTCTCTAGATGAATTCTATCAAAATGAAGATGACTGTTTTTGTATAAACCTAGCAACAATCTGACAATCTTCAATCTGTTTAAAGTATTAATCATGATATATTTATTTAATGGTGGACATATTCACATTACATATTGTGAATACCCTGCACCGCATATCATCGTGGCTACTTACCGATATCATTTTAACCTTGCATTGTATGTAGATATCTACCCGGTCTAAAGTGATCAACAGTTCCAGTCAAGATACCGGCACTGTAGCAATTCATGATCTGAAGGAACAGCTTCAGTCAAGATACCGACACTGTAGTGAATAGTTCAAGTCAAGTAACTTGTACTGTTTTAGTCTTTAAAAGGAGGCCTCGTCCATGTTGTGAGGTACCCTTTCATTTTAGCACTTCTTAGAGAGAGAGTTCAGATAGAGAAAATTATACCCAATAGGGTATAATGAGCCCTCCTTTTGGGACTAAAAATTTATTGTTTCAACAGTACAAGTTACTTGACTTGAACTATTCAGTACAATGTCGGTATCTTGACTGGAACTGTTCCTTCAGATCATGAATTGCTACAGTGACGGTATCTTGACTGGAACTGTTGATCACTTTAGACCGGGTAGATATCTACATACAATGCAGGGTTAAAATGATATCGGTAAATAGCCACGATGATATGCGGTGCAGGGTATTCACAATATGTAATGTGAATATGTCCACCATTAAATAAATATATCATGATTAATACTTTAAACAGATTGAAGATTGTCAGATTTCTGCTAGGTTTATACCAAAACAGTCATCTTCATTTTGATAGAATTCATCTAGAGAAGCTGTAGACTC